TTCTATTTTTATTTAAGGAGTTGAATAAACAGGTTTTTAACTTAATTTTTTACTGGTTTTTGAAAAATTCAAAATATCAAATTTTCAAATTAAAAAATCATAGGGTGATTTTACAATTTTGCAATCTAAAGTATCAAAAAGTTGGATAACATTTTTTTTTATATTATTTTTTTTCTAATATTACTTACTTTACTATTTATTAAAACTTTTAAGAACTATTATTATTAACTTTTATTTTTTATTTTATTTTATTTTTTAATATAAGACTGATACTGGGGTCAATTTATCTATAGGATTTATACATAAAAATATGAGTGAAATATTATCCAAATGAAGGAATTAACCCAACCACTCAAAAGGAGCCCGAAGTAGTCACCCAGCCTTATCCTATAAAGGTACATAAGTCTGGCCGCAACTCAAGCTACGTCTTCACAGAACTACTATTCTACTCCACCAAAGCAATACTTTAGCTGAATTCTCAATCAAAAGTAAAAAAAAATTTCTGCCTAATTACAAGTAATTATTTAATTACAAAATCAAAATAGAGAAGTAAAACTAAACTAAATTCGGTAGTAACACTAAAATTTCTGCTAAAATCTCTTTGTTTGTATTACCACCTCCTTTCGCCTTCTTTTTCTTATTGGACTTCAATTTAGGAGTGACTTGCTTATTAGTATTGGGCGAGAATTTATGGTCCTTCTTTTTAAGGTTAACGTTACCTGACTGTTGTCCAGCATTCCCAGACTTCTTGTTAGGAATGTTCTTCACCTTTGGTTTGTTTAGTGCTTTCTTCAAGTTGGGCATGAAGTGTTGACACCATTTCAACTCCTTTCCTATGGTCAGGAAAACTTGTGGCTTATCTAAGGCCTTGAGTGTGGCCTTCCAATTCTCAAAATAGCCAATAAGCTTCCTCTTTTCTTTACTTGTTTGAATTATTTTAAACACACTAGCACTATACGTTGTTAAAAATGATGTTAATTTACATTCATCCTACAAGGTAGCCATCATCATTTCTTTTGGAATATCATGAATGACAAGAATGACAGCTTGGAATTTCTCTTGTTATTTCTTTTCAGAAATTCTAACTTGTGGGAACCATTTCATGGGTATACTTTTCAGATCAGTCATCCAAACTCCAGAATTTATTATTGCTGTTTTCAAAATGGTTGAAATTTGATAATTTATATGAGGTGATGACAAAATAACACAAAAAATTATATCAAAAAACACATTCAAAAAAACATATGTAATGTGTGTCATGTAATACAAGATCACAAAATCTTAAGTTTTTTTTTGCGCTAAAAGCCTTTAAAAGGTTGGAATTGACACCAAGTTACAAATGATCTGTGATCACGTGACCAAGACAATATTTAATTGACGTTCATTTTTTATTTATTTTTATATAAAATTTAAAGTCTATGCACAAAATGAATAATCCAAGTTAATAAAGAATTCAAATATGTTGTTTAGGTTAAATTTTAATTATATTTACCCACACTAACTATAGTTTATTATACCAAATTTCACTTAAATAACGTTTAAGATAAAAAAGATTAATCAATTAAATAAATTTTATTAAAACAAAATCCCATAATATGACATAACAATAAATAAACAAACTTTGTAGCTACTTATTAAAAATATTCCTCCCTTTTCTTTCTATTCCAAAGCTATAAATATAAGATTTTAATTATTAATTAGTTAAGGCATGATCCGCCTAAGAATGGCAGCAAACTACTATATAAATTCGAGGGAAAAAATTAAAACCAAAAAAAGGCATTATCTTATGATCCAGTGATTGGATTTTGATGATCCCTTTTCGAGTTTATAGCTTTCGATGCACTCTTCAAAACAAAAAAAAAAAAATTCGAAATTGGACTGGTATATCACAATATAATCACAAAAAATGATTTTTTCCAGGTAAATCTTCCGATGCCCCCGATAAATCTTCCGTTGCCCAGAAAAATTTATATTTGCAATTATCTTGTGATATATTGGTCCAATTTTAAATATCTTTTTTTTATTTTAAAGAGTACATCAAAAGCTATAAACTCAAAAAGGGATCATCAAAATACAATCACTGGATCACGAGATAATGCCTTTTTTTGGTTTTAATTTTTTCCCCCGAATTTATATAGTAGTTTGCTGCCGTTCTTAGGCGGATCATGCCTTAATAAGCTTTTAAATAAAAAATTATATAGATAGAGTATTTCCACATAAATATGTAAAGTAGTGCCATAAAATACCATTTTACTGCTTCCCAAGAGGACTGAGAATACTTTGGTTAGTTTAATTGTAGTGTAATTCTAGTGTAGTGTCTTTTTTATTCACTGTGATCTAAGTGTGATTCTAGTGTGATTCAAGTGTAATTCAAGTGAGATCTTGGAGTTAAAAAGTAAAAATACCAGTCTATTTTTGACTAAACCTTACAAACTCATAGTATACATACGTGTTTATTGAAATATTAAAAAAAAAATATAGTAGAACTATAAAAATTTAGACTTTAAATATAAAGAATAAAAAATTTTTTTCATATATAAAATTTTTTTTTTTTTTGTGTTATATGATCGATATTGATTTCAACCATTTTGAAAACCGCAATAAACTGGAAAAGAGTGAATGAATTTAAAACTGTTTTGACTTTAAGAGTCTGGTATTTATATTGCCAGCTAAATAGGTTTGCCCCATAACATTAATTCTCCTAAGATTTTTTTAATGTTCCAGATAAATGGAATATTGTATACAATAATGTCTCTAACTTGCCTTTACTCACCTTCAACTTCTTTGTATCTGATCACTATGTAATTAACTCCAGGTCTAGATAATTTCTTCCCCTTTCAAGATTTTTGGGCTGATGTTTGTACATCAGGATTTGCCGTTGTTGATTGGTTCTTGACTTGTTTATCATCTGTAATATGTGCCTTTTGTTTATCTTTCTTCCAGAAAGTTTTATATCAGGCAGTATTAGAGGTTCAACACTTCAGTTTTGATAAACTAGTAGATGAAAACAATTCATCATTAGCGGCACCCATATCACTATACTTATTATAGGCGCAGGTACTAAAATTATTTTACAACCTGGACGAAGTATAAAAAGCTATAGAAAATAAAGTGAGTGAAGTTATTCAAGTTGGCATACTTGCCAAACATATCTACTAGAAGCTTTGCTTTATCAAATAAAAGTTTGAGGAAACCATTCTTAACAAATTGTCCAAGCTGAAAGGTAACATTATTTAAAAATAGTTCCTTGCTTTCTGAAGTAAACTTGAAAAAATCCTCTTCAAAAGTTGTTCTACTTGAGTCTTCCATATCTGACATTTTATTATTATAGAAAAGTGAAAAAGTTTATAAAAAATTTTTGCAGAAATTTTTGTAAAATGTAAAAGGAAAAAGAGTTGAAAATGAAAACTGTTGTAAGTTTAAAGTAAAAAACTAAATAACTAATCAAACAAAAATTCATGTGATTGATTTTTTCTGAATATTTTTTTGTTTTTTTTATCAGTAATATTATATATAGGATTTGTTTTAAAGAGTTTCTAATTTTTTTGAAAATGATATGGGGTTTTGAAAGGCTGTCTCTACCTATTACTGGTATCTCTTTGAATAAAAAAAAAATTATTATTATTATAATATGATAATATACGTTATAATCTTTGCAAAGTATATCAAGAGCAAATACCTTTATTAACACTTGTCAAAGATACATGTAAACGGTGTTATTATGAAAAAATACTGGGGGCATGCCAAAAAAGTTGTCTGAGGGTAATAATATGCATCCAGGTTATGTTCCCAACAAACTTAAAGGACTTAGTGAAATAGAAGAAATGCTTATTTCTCAGGGTTTCACTGTGATGACAGTATACCAGCTGCATGGTGGACAAAACAGCTATATAGGACACATGATTAATTTTTCTCAGGATATCCAGGGCTTTATGAAACAACTTCCATGTGATCCAACATCTCTGGATGTTCTTGTTGTATGGTGGCAATTATCAAACAATTCAATGGTGTTCAGGGATTTTACTGTACAAAAGAGCAAAGTGTGCAAAGCACTATTATGGTTAAAGGAAAATAACCCTTACTATGAAGACATAATAATTGATACAGATATTCTTCAATTCTTACCCGAAAATGATTCCATTTTCAACATGCTCCCACAACTTCAAGATGATGAATCAGAAGATGATAATGGTGATAACTAGTGATGCTAATGGTCCAATTTAGTCTGACTTAAAACTCAAGTCAAGCTGAACTGATAAAAAGTCAAGCCAAACCAGACTGGACTCCATTAACTTAAAAGTTCAAGTCAAACCAAACCAGTTAACAGCTTAACTCAAGTCAAACCATAATTTTATTAGTTATATACCTATATTTATACATATTATTATATTTAAAAGATAGAAATAAAAAAAAATATTAAACTTAATTATCATCTATGAATTTAAACACATGCAAGCTTCAATTGCATGATCACCTAATCTATTTCTTTTTTTACTAACCAATTCACCTGATTTTGAAAAGGCTTGTTCACTTGGAACAGAAGTAGCTGGAATATAAATATAATCATATGCTATCTTCTCTAGAAGCAGATATTGCACTTTGTGGTGTTTCCACCATTCACATGGATCTATATCTATAGGTTCTATAGGAATGCCAAATATTCCATTATTTCATTTTGAGATTGTAAATTATTAAACTTTCTTTTTTTTTAATCATACAGCTTAAGATTCCTGATGTTTTTCTCTTATCTTCTACATTTAATTTTATTTTCATCATCAGCAGTAAGAGTTTGTTCTATATTTTAATAACTATTAAATTTTTCTATAAGTAATTGCTTTGCATCTTCTACATTTACACTATTAGAAAGAATTTGTGTTTTATATTGAGAATCCAATACTAAAGCTAAAGTAGCTGTTGAATTGTAAAGATTAACTGAAATACAATGAAATTTCTTTTGCATTTCTTTAGCAATTCCTTTTATCCATTTTGGTATAGATGTATCATTTTTTAATTATTGTTATATGTTCCAATAAATGATCTAATAAAAGAAGTAAGGTTCCAAAAGTAGGATATTTAGAGCCTGACATTTCTTCAGTAAATTCAAAAAATGGTTTTAAAAAATCACAAAAAAGTTGGAGTTCTTTCCATTCATCATCATTTAAATCTAATTTTGCAAATTTACTACCAATAGAAATTAATGAAACTTGTTAAGAAAGGATTCTAACATTAAAAACGTACTATTCCATCTAGTCTCGACATCTTTAATTAATTTTTTATATTTGATATTTAAATTTGTTGCAAAAGTAATTAATTTCTGTTCCTTTTTTGGTGAGTTGCGTACTTCTATAATAAAAGCTTGTACTTTATCAATAATAGGTTTAAATTTTTCCAAACCAGCATTAACTTCAGCTTGTGATTCCAGGTTGAATTTTTAGATGTTTTCTTTTCCAATGACAATTTTTACTATATCTTTTATTACAATATTTACATTTTGTATATACATGAATGCCATTATCATCAACTTTTTCGTAATGTTGCCAAACAGTACTTGGTAATTGAACTGGAGGTAAATTTGCTGATTTTTTTTTTCTGAACTTAATGATATCTCATAATTGGTTTTCTTATCATCATCATCAATTATTGAAATAGTCAATTCTAAATTAACTATTGGATCCATTTCAGCCTTTTATCAATTCTGAAATTAGGGATTCTTTAACTGATTACCTTTAGCTTTGACTGACTTTAAGAACTTGTGATCCTTCTTCTTTCTTCCCAATTCATGAGATATATAGACTATACTTCTCCGCTAATTAATTACATCGTATTTTGGTGAACGGACCAATTCACTATTTATTATGAATTAATTACTTCTGTCAAAATACATTACATCTGTCAAAATAAATTTAATTAGTATTTTGTCATTTCGATGAAAAGTATAATATAGACTACAAGTTTCCTCTTATTTTTACCTATTTGAATAATCTTGAATGCATTCACTTCACAATATGCCAAAAATTAGTTATCATATATTGTGGGCCACAGTATTCCAGGTATCTTGCAAAAATTGGGATTTGTATAGATTTCAGATATACGAAATATCATAGACTATTATATTACAGATACTCTTACTTATTCTCTAGTATTTTGTATCCAGTCAGGAATTTTTCTTTAAGAAGCATAGCTCAAACAGATATTGGGCTTTTTAGTATTAATGTGTAGTAATCCTACACTTATGATGTAACTGGACTTTACTATTTTTAATAACAGAAACTTGTCCTAACAGGATCCCGCCTACTATTAAGATAGGTCACCCTGTGGCCTAAGGTAAGGTTTACATATAAATCTTTTTAAAGATTCTACTATAAAAGGAAATTTTATGTTACATTGTTATGATTTTTTTCCTTTTTAGTTAATTAACCAATAGAATTTAAGCAAATCCTAAGGTAAGGTTTTATATGAAAGTAAAATTTCAACCAGTAACATATCTTAATAGTAAGTGGGGTCCTGTCTCAACCTATTTTAACCTGTCTAAGATGGTGAGATCTAACTGCAAAAAAATTTTTATTTATTTTATTTTATTTTATTTTATTTTATTTTATGTGAAGTTGGCGAGGTATACAAAAAGATATGAACAATCTGTCGAGAGTTACTGATCTACTTAGAACCCACCATCGAAGACCAGAGAAGCTGGCACCCGATCCTAACTTCTTAAAAAAAAAGACCTGAACCACTACCACGTCCGATAAAAGGCCAGGCAAACACACTGGGAATAATAAAAAAAAAAAGTGGAGAGGACAAGTCCCCTTTCCAAGAAATTGTGGCACTACACATAAACCTATTCTATCCTAAAAAATAATGATACAATTCTGAAATTCGTAAAACCGCTAATTAAAGCATAGGCTAAACTAGTCTCTGTAATAAAGTTAAAATTTCTGCTAAAACCTTGTTATCTTTATTACCACCCTTAATCTTCGAGGTATTCTTTGCCTTCTTCTGATTCTTCGGGTTTTTCTCCTCCTGGTTATTATTTTTTGGAACTTTCTTCGAGGATGTAGGTTTATCCTTCTTCTTAGGCTGATTACTTTCCAAATTCTTATCAGACTTACCTGATTTTTTTGGATTCGGTGTATTTTTAGCCTTCGGTTTATTTTGTGCTTTCTTCAAGGTAGGAATGGAGTGTCGACACCATTTCAACTCCTTACCGTCAGGTACGAAAAACTGTGGCGTATCTAAGGCCCTTAGTGTGGTCTCCCAATTCTCGAAATAGGCCACAAGTTTCCTCCTTCCTTTACTTGTTTGAATTATTTTAAATGAGCTAGCACCGCACTTCATTAAAATTCACATGGTTTACGGTCCATCCACAAGGTAGCCATCATCATATCCTCTGGAATGTCATGAATAACGGCTTGGAACTTTTCACGTTACTTTCTTTCTCGCAAAGTCCAACTTGCAGGGAACCATCTAACGGGTATACCTCCCAGGTTTGTCGTCCAATATTTGTTAAACTGGGGAAGGGCAAATGAGAAAAGTGCTATTTTGACTCAGAGAGTCTGATACTTATGTTGCCGTTTAACGGAACATTTAATAGCGTTCCCCAAAATTTTAACTCTGCTATTATTTTCTGCAGGTTCCAGGTATACGGGATATCATAAACTATTATGTCTCGGATTCGCTCCTGCTCATCTCTGACAGCTTCGTATCCTGTCAGTATCTGCGTAGCCTCCAGTTCAGATGATTTCTTTCCCTTTTGGGAATTTTTGGCTGATGTTTTCACATCAGGTTTTGCCTTTGTTGATTGGTTCGCGACTTGTTTATCATCTGTAATACGCGCCTTTTGTTTATCTTTCTTCCAGGAATTTTCAGATATTACAGTTTGATCAACAGGGGGCATTACTATATCAGGCATTGATGGAAGCTTAATAGGTACTGGATTTGGTGGCATTTGAAATCCTTGGCGTTGAGATCCCCCAATTCCCTCTGTCATCAATTTACAGAGTTGCCACATCGAACGGGCATTCTCATGGTCGAACGAACGAATAAACGAACGAACGATCAATTGAACAAACGAACAAATTATCAACAACATAATTAACAATAACATAATCAACGAACAACATATAACAACAATATACGACAACATTCTTGGTTCACGACATAAATAGCGTTAGTAATATAAAACGTCGAACGATATAAAATAAAATTTAACTTCTCTAAATTTTCCCCAAATTATATCCACTTTTACCTTTAATTTCAAACTTCGATAGCTCTCGCTACGAATTATTACTTTTCAAAAGTGTATATTTAATTCATCTTAAAATTTCCATTTATTCAATTAAAATTAATTAAGCAAACATTAATTAAAGTTTAGGGCGAACCTATTACCTTTAATTAACATTAAACTTTACTAACAAATAATTAAAAAATAAAACTTATATTTTTATTGAGTTCTGTGGATGAGAACTATGGAATTACTTTGAATTCCGTTCTCTATTTATACAAATTTTACGCTACTTTCTATTCTATCTATATACTATCTTTTATGTTCTTTTTACATATTATCTTTGAACTATCTTTCTAATATACTATCTATATTTTAAATACGCTATCTTTTTATATATGTTCTTTTTAATATATTATCTTTTACGTTCCATCTTTATACTATCTTTTTATATTATCTTTTATATTATTTTGTGTTCTTTAATCTTTCTGACATTATTTTATATGTTCTTTTAATAAACTTTATGTGTTTTACTTATAATCTATCTTTTGTGGCTTATAATTATTCTTTCTTATTGTTCTTATTGTTAAAGATTGCTAAGCCGCAATTGATCGACTCTATTTATCCTATTGGTTCTTTGTCAATCATTTAACAAATATTACATCATGTAGATCATTACTCTTCCTAAATGTTTATCCTTTTTGGTTAATTATTTATCCATCCACGCCAATTCATAATTAATTTGTTCGTTCTTAATATTTGGCAATTACATTTGGTGGTTGAATTTTATCATCTTTTCATGCTTGATATTCGACCATTTACAGCGTAAAAGTTTATCTACATCGGGCTCAAGCGGATATGACTCATCCATCAGATAATCATCAGTATTCTGAGATCCATTGTCATCGTCGTCATCATCATCACCCGTATCGCCAAAATTGCAATAGAATTGGGTAGAAAAATTATCCCAAGACTTGAACGCAGCATATAGCGCTATAGAAAATATTAGCGAAAAAGTGGTGGATTATATATTCGTAGCTTGAGCTTGTGAAGTGAAGTTCGCAATGTTGGCTGTTTCACCAAACCGCTCTATCAGTATCCGGGCTTTATCCTTAGGTACTGAGGGGTTTTTTTCAAATAAGTCCTTGAGAAAACCGTCTGTAACAAAAGAACTTAAGTTGTATGTAAAAGTTTGAAAATAAATTTCGTTAAACTTGGAAACGAAGTCTAAAGCTTTTTCGTTTCGTGTTTGGCTCTTATCCATAGACATTTTTATATTTATGTAATAAAATTTAATAAAGGGGATTATTTTTTAAAAAAAAATTATTACGCAGAAATTTTCGTAAAAAATGTATTCGGGAAAGAGTTTTCCAAAAAAATTTTTAAGTTGCCAAGATAAATATAAATAACACATTCTTCATAGTCACATGACATGTGACAATAAACATCATTTCAGTTGTATTAACAATGGTACATGCCTTTTAAGACTTAAAACTCTTTCTTTCCACAAAGAAAAATTTTATTTAGGAAATATGGGTAATAACAATAAAAAGAAGACTTTGATCAAAAAACAAAGTTCATATATCTCTACACAAGAGTTTGTAGACAAGTTTACAGCTGCCTTTACAGATATACTGAGATACACGTTAATAGCAGTTGAACACCATTCTAAAGAAGAATATACAGCGAAGGTTATTATAAAGCCACTTGTTCCAGGAGGAGACTTGGTCAAACCAACTTCACTCGCTGATACATATTCAGTTGGTCCTCTAACTTCTGAAGTATTTTATGGCATAATATCAGAAGCCCATTTGAAAGCTCGTCAGCAGTTAGACTCTTTGAGTTCACGGTATTAAAAATCTCTTCCTATGCTTGCAGCAGCAGCAAGAAAAGAAAGTAAAACAAAAGGACCAATCAAATAGCATGTGTCGACAGAGATATATGCCAATCCAGTGATTGATGAATCCATGAACATAGATGAATCTGCTGATCTAAATATTGCCGTATCTTAGTCAAATCAGGAAGGTAATCTTAGATCTATACAAAGCACTCCAAATGTCATAATACAATCGGAAGAAAAAAATAATAATAATAAGAGTAAGGTTACGAGATTAACACTCAATAATAATTATGTACATACTGCACAAGAAGGTCAAGTGCGCACTATTATAATACAGTCAAACTTCGATATACCGAACTTCCGGTTCAGGGATAAAAGTTCGGTATATGGAAGGTGTTCGGTAAATCAAATTTTTTTTATATACCGAACTCTATAGGTAAACAATAAAAAGTTCGGTATATCAAAAATCATGTGATTTTTCATATAATATTCACGGTATAAAGATTGTTGAACTTTATTATGTAAAAAAAAAATACATTGATATAAAATGTCCAAAAAATTATATTACTAATAAAATGTAAATGTTTCATATTATATTACTAATAAAATGTAAATGTTT